GATCTCTCTGTGAGAGCGGGAGAGAAGGCTTTCTCTAAGCGTCCACAGGCTGCTCCTCCCCTCGCCGCTCCTCCATCATCCGTCTCTCCTCCTCCTGCATGGCCGTCTTGACCACCAGCGCGTCCAGGTCCAGATCAGCCTCCCACGCCAGCATCCGCGTCCTCATCGCCCCCTCCACGACCAGCTCCTCGACCAGCGTCCGCACCTTGCCGTCCGCCTCCACGATGCTCTCGTTGAGCTTGTCCAGCGAGTTCCACCGCACCATGTGCCGCGCCGCCGAGTTCCACGCGCTCGCCGACGCGCACACGCAGTTCATCTCGAACTCGAGCACCCGCCTGTACAGCCGGAGCACCTCATCGCGCGCCCGCGTGCGTCGGGCCGCCAGCTCGTCCTGCCGCGCGGCGAGGTCCTCGGCGTCGTGCCACGACGGGCACTGCAGGAGGTAGGTGAGGTGCATGTACCAATGGATCCGGCCGATGACGTGGACCATGCCCTTTCGGAACTCGTCGTGACGTAGAATCGGGTCGATCAGTAACTAAAGAAAAACATCATGTCAGCGACTTGGAAGGAACACAGAAGCGTAGGTTGGCGGCTCAACGTACAGGAGTAAGGATGGACAGCCCAGACCAGGCCAGGGCGGCAGAAGGGTACTCGTCCCAAGCCGTCTCCACGGTGCGCCTGGTGCTGTCCAGCAGAATCTTGGGGACGTCGTCGGCCTGGCTGGGCTTGCTGCCCTTGCGTTTGCTCAGCCCCGCCCTAGTAATGGCACTCATGAGCTCCATCCGGCGGTTGGTGTCCCCGTCGGGCGGAGACAGGGTGGAGCGGGTGGCCAACTTCAGGTCATCCGACAGCTCCTGGGAGATGATGGCCTCGTAGGTCACGACGAGGCTCTTGGTGCTGGGGTCGAGCCGCAGGGCGTCGTACGCCTCGTCCCACAGCTCGCGCGACAGGGCGATCTCGGCGCTGTGGCCGGACGAGGCGGACGAGACGGACTTCTTCTTGGGGGCGGGCGCGTACCCGCTGCGACTGTAGGGGATGGCGGCGGCGGGCTGGTGATGCTGCTTCTGCGGCTTGCTCGGTTTCTGCTGAGGCTTCGGCTTGGAGTGCGGGCTGGGCGTGAGGCGCTTGCACTTGGGGTCGCATTGGCTGTCGTCGCTGTCGACGGTGCCTCGTCGAACGGGGCTGGTGGACGGCTTGCGGGCAGCGTAGTCGTTGCTGCTACTGCTGCTGCCACTCCCGCTGCTGTTGCTGGAGCTGTTATTGCGTACACGATGGACAAGCCGCTTCAGGATGCCTGGGCTATGCTGGGTGCCGATTTCTACCCTGGTCTCGTCTCGCATGGCTGCTGTCATATTTCCGGTGTCGCTGGACGGTGAGGATTCGTAGTTGAGAAAAGCCAACCAAAGGACAAAGCCAAAATCGTAGGGGGAAAACAAAATCAAAACTGTAATGACGCCCCTCGAAGGGTCCTATGCGAAGAGGAAGTTTCCGGTCCAAACCCAAGCTCTCAAGCAATAGGAACCGGGCAAATGAAGTCCCCCACGATAGATGGATGAGCCTGGGATTTAATAGCTGTCGCCTGGGCAGGCCGGGTGTAGTTGGCCAAGGCGCTGAAGGTTAGTGCAGTATAGGGGCCGAGTCCGCTATAGTAGGTGGTCGTAGCGGTAAATGCAGTCAACGAGCCAAAAGGCAGGTGCTTCAGATCGCTCAGTCGTTACACAGAAAATACCAGGCAAGCAAGAACGAGTAGGAGAAATGACGGGATAGACAGATCTAGGTGCCGGGATAAGCCCCTCTTATTAATGAAAGAAGGTCGGGATTTCTGATTGTTTGGTTCTGAGTGGGTGCCGGGCTGGCGGTTCAACTGGGCTGGCGACTCCTTGCCAAGCCAGGCGTGTGTGGATTCGGAAGCCATGGATGTCATTCATTCATTCGGTTGATCGTCTGGAGGTACCTTTTCGCTTTCGGACCGCCTTATTACACATCTTACCATGGATGGGTGTCGTTGTGCGACCGACCAGGGTCGCCCCCGAGCCAAACATGCGAGGGATGATACTTGGCCCGGTGGGAGGCAATTCAACAATGTGTCAGGCGGGAGTTGCCGCTGGCTTGTCACCACGACGGTTACCTACAGGAGCATTTGCATTCCTACCTGTTTGACTGGACCGGACGTACATAAACGACTGGTCCCGGTCTGTCAGCCTGTCCGCCTGGCCTACCCTAGGTAAGCTGCTTTGGTATCATGTGCGTGTGTCGGGTGGTGTGTGTCTCTGGGCATCCCGCCTATACCCCGAGAAATAATCAGGAATCTGGTCCTTTTACTCGTTGAATTGATACTCCCGAGTCCCCCACCCCGGCTAACTTGAAGACCGGCTCGATGGACGGGACCGAGAGACATGCTGTTGTATTGTAGTGCTGGGACACAAACGAGGACTCTATGCATGCAGCTGCTCTGGCTCAGACATTTCATGTCCCTGTCCGCATTATCGAGAAACTAGTTGGTTCAGCGGCCTGGATCGAGACTCGAGTTGCAGCTGCTTTGAGTGTGCTGCATGGACGTTACCCACTAATATCTCACCAGGCTGATCGCGGTGGCTTGGGCCTGGCCCTTTGAGAAACAAACCCAAGACAAGGGAAGAGGGATAACTCCTCTCTGTGCGCACATGCATGATAGATTGGGAAGCACAGGGAACATAAAGTGAGGACACCAATTCGGTACGCTGCAAACCCATGCGATGTAGCCTGCACCTCGCGATTGTGACCTAAGAGGGCTGGGGACATTCGCCCTGTTTCTGCCCTTTACCAAGATTACCAAAGGCCATTCGCCAATTTGGCAGTGACGACGAGCCCAAGCCAAGGAACACTGACTGCTGGTTGGCTGGCTGATCGAAATGCCGGCCCTGACGACGATGACTTCATCCCCTTGTCCTCGGCCGGCCGCTCTACCTCATAGGCCCGTTTTCTGCTGCCTAGCTCGCGTGTTAGGGTCCGGGGCATCACTAGCCAGGGGTGTCTCTGCTGGATGATGGCATATGTGCGTCTGTCCGCTCCATATTGCCTCGAGGAGCGGCCCTTTTCCTCACACTCACCCCCCCCTCCAACTCCAGCACCAGTGCTCGCTGTGCCGCAGCCAGAGTGGCCCTCCGACTCTCCCCGCCCGCGACATGGTGGTCGCTCAGTTGAACCATTGAACTATCTGCCATTATCCTCCCGCCGGCTACATACCCGCCATCTTCCGCACACTAGAGAACTCCTCCCTGCCCCGGTCAGGCTGGAGTTGCGGACCTGGGGTCATATCGTTCCCTCCCCAAAACTCCAGAAGACTTGCCTTCCTGCGCAGGTATGGCAGGTCTGTGGCGAACTCGTGACAAATGGAATGCAGACCCCTATCCGTCATCCCGTATTCCAAGCTCCTTCACTACGAAGCTTTCCGTGGCTTTGTGGCAGCAGCTTGTTCTCTCAATTGGACTCGTATTCATGTCTTCCACCCAGGATTCTATTTTTGTGTTCCCCCAAGCTTATCCCACATGAATCAATCGCCCCCCCAGCTCCCCCTCACAGGCTGTCGCGAACACTCCCTTTCCTCCCTGCATACAGTTACGTTACTTTACGATTCATTCAATCTTGATGTTTGCCCAATCCCACCTTGAAAAATAGAGCAGGGGGAGTGTGTGGCGCCCCGACATGTGACACTCCGACCAGCCGCGCCCTAATCCAGGCTCTAAATAGAATTTTGATGCGTGTTTGTCTCAGATGTGTTTCCAAGCCGTCCGAGCGTTGCCACATGGCAAGCCATGGAAGCCAAAACAATCTCTTCCCCAGATTTGACGGTCCTGATTCTGCCCGACTGATTTCCCTTTCCTCTCGCTCTCGTGCTTGGGCCATCCTGATACGTCCAGTGCTTCGTGCCACCCCTGCCTGGCACGCTTCATAGTTTAATTGTCAATCCGGTCCAGGCCCGACTTCCCTGCTGACCTTGGGGGTTTCGTAAAGGTAGGGCGTTCGTTTCCTGATCATACCTGGGAAGTGGCTTTGCTCCTGGGGGTGGCTTTTCGGGACTGGGAAACATGAATCAATTGCATTCCTGTTGCCAGCTCGGGCCGGGCTCATGCTGACCTTTCGCCCCATTTTGAGACCGTCCGCGTGAGATGCATTCCAGTGCTGCCGCCCGCAGTGGGGAGAGTATGCCGATGGCAAAACTAAGATGGATCTGTGGCAACCTCGAGCCTTGTAAACCGGCGCGCAGGGTGAAATGAAATACAGGATTTCCAGAGGCCTTGAACTTGGCCGGAGGATCGTCCACTTTGGGGGCTGTCAATAATTGAGTTCGCCGGGCGCAACGCTCAGTTTCGGACTCCAAACATCTTGTGCAGCTCCCGAGCTTGCAGAATGATCCGCCTGGACTTGAGGTATTCTCAAAGTGGCGCAAATGGACAGGCCTGGAAGGACGGCTGACAAGATGCTTCGGATCACTTTCAGGCTGAAGCATTGTAGAGCTCTTTGTCTCGTGGGCACGTGTTGCCCCTTGCAGAACGGCGTCTGGCTGGCCCCCCCATACTCACGAAGTAGGGATCATGGCATGGACCAAGCGTCGATATACACGTGGAGGTGGATTCATCATACTTCCAACTCCTTGCCAGTCGTAGCCTCACTTGGGTTGGAGTGGCTGTAGGGAGGGAGGCTAGGGAGCAGCGTTCCATCCCATCATGCCAATGACAAGTTCAATTCTATCAATTGAGGGAACCGGGTGGACTATTCAAACTAAAACTGATGTAATTTTTTTGGATTAACGCAAAGGAAGCTAACAAACGGACAAACCGAGGTATGCTATGTAACTATGGATCTACAACCACTCCACCTCTGTCTGTCCATCGGTTTGAGGATAACAGCGCTCGAGCGAGCTACATCCTCTCTGCATGGAGGAAACGGCGGCACTTTAGCCAACGGCAAACTCGGTTAAGCCATTACGTCTGCCATCTGCCGTGCTTGTCCTCGCCTTCTCATGTCCTCTTCGGGCGTGCTGCAAGGGTGCATGTAAAATCACAGATGCCCTCCCGTAATACCGCATCTCCGAATTCCTGATCGGGCTCAAACTCCTCGGTAGACTGGCCCTGGTCATGAAACCCGGAAAAGTCGACCAACTCCTCCATTGGTGTTGTCCGCTGGACCTGCCCATACGTGCGCAGCATCGGCCGAACAATGGAAATACCATTGTGTTCATTGTCGGAAGGCACATGTGTCTCCATAGATGGTCTGGGTCTGGAGTCATATCCATGATTATTTCCAGTCCCTGGATCATCCATCTCGATCCGGATATCGTGTTGCGATACTACAATGTTGAAGTCGGCTTCGATGGCAAGCCTTACCATCTCAGAGAGGGCATCTTCGAAAGGTCCCCTAGTCGTCCGCGTCTTGTATCCTGGCACGAGATTCGGCGATGATACAGGATTATCTGGATGGTAGCGATAAATTGCGATGGGTTGAATGGCTTCCATGATAATTAGTCTGAGACGGTCGGGGCATGTGTGTGAACCTTGGCGCAAGTAGATGGCCCGAGCCATGTTGTGCCGGCCGGCGTGATAGGCATCTGTCTTCGGGTTGCTTTCGTTTTCTATGTGTTCTGATAACCATTAACTTAGCGATACTCAAGTTTCGTGCCGGCTGGCTGTGATTGTGGAATGGGAAAGAGAACATACCGTCCAGAAATTCTCGAAGGCACCCGAAAGTAGTCCATTCCGAACTAGACCATTTGTCCCTGCATTTCAGAGAGAACAGATTCTCATAGAGTATGCGCCAGATCCAGGCTTCGAAAATCAACCAGCAGCCTTTGTACTCTGGGTCCTCACACAAGTCTGCGGCCCTTGGAGAGATGGCCAGCAGTTGAGCCTTGATGTCATCTCCCACAAGGTTCCAACTGCATTTGGGTGGGAAAATCAGCTTGACGAAGAACTGGACCTGCGTAGCGAGGTCGTCCCAGATGTTAATGTGCAAGTCATCATCTGAACTAGACAGAAGAGCTCTATGGACTGGTGTCGACTGATCGGTGGTAGAGCCAGAGGAGGCGCTGCGGCCGTCTTCACTCATCTTGTGTTGAGACATTGAAGTCAATGGTGATGGATGAGTGATAACTTATGTTTCCGATGTTTAAAAAGTGGGAATCCAGATTCGGCTTTGGAGCATTATATAGGCTTTGAACTTGGTTGACAAATCGGTCAGTTTGAATACATTGATGTCAGGTTGGTGCTGTAAGGCTGTCATGTTGTTTTGTTCTGCTGCTTCCATGCTGATTAGCGCGTTTCTTAAACTTCCGTGAAAAGGCCTTAAATTAAACGTTCTTGTGATATATTGTGAATTTGAGCAAGTGATCTTTGTAAGTTCTCAAGAATTACACAAAGGAGAGGGCGAAATGAGGAGCGACTTTGTGTCTTGTGGTCTGGTGGCAGTGCCATCTACGATAACCGCAACTTGAATGCTCCAGAATCTACAAATTATGGGACAGAGAGCCGATATCATTTGGATCAGTGGTATAATGAACGAACAATCATCTTTCTACACAAAGGAGAGGTGTTCTGATTTTCCCCAGTGTGACTGGAGGAGAGAGTGGAGGAGCGGGTAGGTCACAGGCCACGACACGGAGTTCGTTTGCCGCTAGAATGAAGATGCGACTATCTTTGCGTAGTTTAGAAACCCATTGATGTAACCGTGCCCTTTTTCTGGAAGGAACATTGTGTGTTTTTGGAATTGAATTATGTGAATGTTCTTGATGCCTCTGGCGCAGGAGGCATGATGTCATCCGCCAGTCACGTGCAGCTGATTTGGTTTTAGATTTCAGACACTGCAATCAAATATTTGAGCCTGCAGCCACTTTGTGCTGGCTCATCAACAATCTTTATTGAGCTGTGCAGCCAGAAAGAGAACCCGATGTACCTACCAGCGGCTGCCAATGGACATCTCAAAGGCAAATGCCCGGCCGGCGTGCGATACATGCCGCTCCCGTAAGACGAAGTGTGATCGAGCTTTGCCTAGATGCGGCCGGTGCGTTAGGGTTGGGCAGGCCTGTGGCTATGCCGGACCACGATATCCTTCGCGTGAGGAACTCTCTGGCCAACTGTCTCAGTTGCAGAACCGTCTGACCCAGGCTGAAGCCCAGATCTCCGCGCCTCACCTCCCCAAGCTTGCCGCCTCGTATACTCCAAGCCCTCCTCTCTTCCATCCAGAAGCACCAACCGCCGAGCACTTGGATGTTAGAAGCAGTCCTCGGATCCAGGAGGATGACTATGTCCCCGTTGACCCCAACTTGATGGCCAACTTGACCCCTGAACCTATCAATGTTCCATCCTTCACGAGCTCTTTCCCCGATGGCATCGAATTCTTTTCCACCATGAGTGTCGACTGGCCGTTGGAAGGGCCTGGAAACAGTCTGGAGATGGCGTTGCCTGCGTCTGCCTCTCCCCAAACGCCACTTCATTTTGGGGGCCAAGAAGGAACAGAGACACGCGCTGAGACGGTGAAGGTATCGGCCCAAGACCTCTCAATATTGCATCAGAAATACTTCAGCATCCTTTTCCACGCTTGGCCATTTCAATCCCGACAGAGGTTCGAGAAAGAGTTGTTGTTCCGGCCAGACTGGCCCCCGATACTTGCCCTCAGCCACGCCATCGCCCTGTACGCCACCACAGTCTCGCAGACTCACCAGCACTTACAGCAGCGCTGCTATAAGGCTGCTCGCAAATATATCGAAATGTCAGAGATGGACGACAATGAGAGCAGTCTGGCTAACCTGAGCCTCTTCCAAGCACTCATCTTTGTGATTCGGTATGAAATCACTAGCCAACCATTGACCCGCGCCTGGATGACGTTGGGACGCGCCATCCGTCTCTCCAAGATGCTCAAACTCGACAAAATAGACAGCTATGAGTCAGAAATGACCCCGGTGGTCGACCTCGAGGTTCGTCTGCCGCCTCCAGCAGATGCTATGGAGCTTGAAGAACGGCGGCGGTCTTTCTGGAGCTTGTATATTCTGGAGAGTTATGCTAGCACGCGCACAGGGATTTCTTGTGAACTTGGCGATGCCAAATTATTCCAAACTCGATTGCCATCGCCAGGACACCTGGATTCCAGTTTCGTAGCGATAGACATGCCATACCTAGGCGAAGTCAGCGCCATATTGCCACACGCCCTACCTCCGATATCGCCTTACACCGGCTGCCTACTCATGGTGGAATTGACTATACAGTGTTTCCAGCATGCCACTTTACGACAGGTCCCTGGTGAAGGTGTAAGCTTCTGGGACAATCACTACAGGCTCATCAAGGAATTCACTCAGCGGGCTTCTCTCTTGAAAGCACACCTAGATACCAACGCTGTGAAGACCGATCCCATCTCGTTCTCTCTGCATATGAATCTATGCGCCGCCGAGATTTACCTGCACGAGGCCGCCATGAAAGAGATACTTCTACAACAATTGCCACACTCGATGGCGAGTGAGAGCAAGAAGTGCTCTACTGCCGCAGCCTTCCGAATCGCCAATGCTGTAAGACTCAACTGGTCGTCTCGTGGTTCCGAGTCAGACCTTCTAGCCCTCCAAGCGACATTTATCGCCTGGCCGCTTGTCATGGCAATGAGGTTTCTCAGCCAGGAACTCGCTTCGACAGAAGCGAAAAGCATCTCTGATGGCGTGGCCGTATCGCACTCGTTGCGGCTGCTCCAGGCTGCGCTGGACCACGTTGAGAAATCAGATGGGTACTGGCATTCCTTGACACGATTTGTAACCCCGACGCTTCAAAGATGGGATGAAAAGAGCGCGTTCGACATGAACAGTTTGTGATGTTTTCCATAGATTCTTTCGGCGACATATTTATGATTCCATTAATCGATCAGAGTGAAACCGTTGCCAACCCCTTGTAGCCACCTTCACGCCAACTATTCGTCCGCCTCCTGTAGTACGCCATCTTGCCACATGTGAGTCAATCACCTCTCGTCTGACACCAAATGTTCCCCATGGACTTAAAATACTCGAACCATTCCCTAACGAGGCACAGCAGCATATAATGCCACGACAGCAGTTCGCATAACCAAATGTGTTTAGACTAGGCCAGTATGATCCCCTTTATCCCAGTGCGCGTTGGCCTACCCGCTGCTTCTATCATGGCACATGTCAGCATTTACCGACCAACACCATCCCGATACGACGGGGAACCACGTACAGTAAGGGGCAACGAGAGTAGAAAGCTGATCGCAGCTGCTACTGTGAAGAAAATCCATATGTTCTTCATTGCCGCGGTGACCTCGGGTACGACCAGCGACTGCTCCTCTAGGGAAAGACGCAGATATGCCGGGCTTTTCGTTCCCGCCATCAGCTGCACGATCTCGCTCGCCGGGGTGTTGGGCAGTACCCTCATGATCTTCTCTAGGGCGATGTTCTGGAACAATGACCCAGCAATAGCAAGGAAGAGGACCATGCCAAGGTCTTGCGCTGGAGATTCGTCATTCATCGGTCAGCGTTTGCATATGACGTTCGGACAAAGTGGCAGACTTACAAATCGTCATTGCCCCGACAGCATTGGCCGTGTCGCCCGCAGGGACGAGGGATTGCACAATGGCGAATCCGGCAACAATGTAACATCCCGCTCCTGCACCCACGAGGATCATGAAGCCGTAAATGGGTGCGTTCGGAGTATTTTCTTCCACCGTGCCTAAGATCCAGTCAGCGACCAACCTTGACGGAGATATCATCTAAAAGCCTACACATAAGAGCGGAACCGACGAGAACGAGCGCACTCCCGACGATGTACCACGTCTCGTAGTACGGGAGTCGGGGCATGAAGACACCGTTAATCATGGAAAAGACGACCAAGAAAATGACGAGGGGCAGTAACCTCACACCAGCATCTAGAGGCCCATCACCCTGAGACTGCTATTAGTCTTTTGCGAATCAGTGCTACATGTCCTGCGATTTTGCGACTTACCCTTACGAACTGGAAATAGAGCGGAATGTAGTAGGTCATCGCCTTCAACTTGGTTAGCCTTTGATGATGGCGCATAATCTTCCACAGCTGCTTACAAGAACGATGCCTGAAGACAAGAACACCTGCGCTTGCATGAGCACTAAGATGGGCCGGCGCAGGAAGTGGACTGGGTAAAGCCGGTTCTCCTTGCTCACGCCCGGATGCAGCTTGGCCACCGCCACAGCTACAACTAGGAGCACTCCGGTGACACTCCACAGGGCAATCATCGTACCTGAGCGGAACGAGTACACGATACCGCCGAAGGAAATGGCGAGGGTTATACATGCCGCACCAGCGAGGAAGACGACTGTCATGGCCCAGTCGATCATCGTGAGCCTCTCCCATGCTGATTTGGCCGGCTGGGGGTCCACGGCAGGGAAGAGGAGAAGGTACGCTGGGGCAAATATGGCGCCGATGACGAGATTGATATAGAAGCCCTTTTCAGAACCGGTTAGCATGCAACAAAACGCAATATTAGAAAACAACCACACACCCATCTCCACGTCGCAGCGCTCTCGGCAAATGCGCCACCAACCACTGGACCAAGGACACTCCCGATCCCCCACACGACCGTGCTACCAGCCAGGTAGGCAGGCTTCTCTTCCGTCGAGGTCAGGACGGAGACGTACGTCAGCGTCCCAGAGTACATGCCTGAGCCACCCACGCCCGCGACGACGCGGCCGATGATGAGGGCGTCCATGGTCGGGGCGGCGCCGCAGACGGCGCTCCCCGCCTCGAAGAGGAGGATGCTGGCGACGTACGCCCACTTGTTGTTGAGGACGCCGTACGCTTTGCCCCAGGGGAGGATGGCCATGGTGCCGAGGGCGAAGCCGGTTCCCACCCAGGGGAGGAGCTCGACGCTGCCGAAGTCGGCGATGATGGCGGGCTGGATGTCGGCGACGATGGTGTTGTCGAGGGCGAAGAGGAAGGTGGTTGAGAGCATGGCGGCGTATGCTATGGCCCACTGGTGAAGCTCTTGTTAGTGAAATGTGTATTGGGATGAAGAAGGTGTGTTGGAGAAGGGGGCTTTGATTATTTTGGACTACTTACGCGCCAGCCGTGGATGGTTCGCGGAGGGGATGAGGGCTCTTT